CCTAGGAGTTTGAAAACTAACCTGATCCTAAGATTTTGACAATCATTGATCTCACAAAGCGTATTTCTCCTTGGTGTGACCTAACGACCTTGACCTGCAAATGTTTTGTTTTAGATCATTTGTTGAATCAACTCATGAATATGTGGAACAGTCTGAGTTTTGAAGAAAGTAATATGTACCATTTCCTCATATACTCCATCCACGAGTCGATCCACTCTAGATTGGTGTCGTAGAAGGAAAGGACGAAGGTGGTTGTCATATATTTGTTTTGCTCCCTATCGCCAGAAAGGTAAGCAAATTGAAGATGGCAGAACCGATTAGTAACGGGTTAATGCTTCTCTAAATGTTAGATGACGGTTACAAAGAGATTGGGAAAGGCACCTCAACGGTTGGAAGTTGAAGCCAGACGAGGAAAGCAAACTTCACATGATAATAGAGTGGGAACCTGCAAACAGTCAGAGATTCTTGGGTATATCAATACTCTGGATACAATCGGCAATGATATCCTAACAGATTTCAATAAGGTCCTGTTTCTTGAACAAGTCCATTAGAAGAAACATCTAACGTAGTGGCAAATCATCAGAATACTGCATATAGTTTTGAGAGGTCAATCGTACCAAGAAATGAGCTTGTCCGTGAACACTTCAACAAGGCTGAAAGAACCGTAAGCTGCAATGCAATGTGGAAGAAGGCCATGAGAGAAAGAGATAAACCAAAATCCACAAAGTTAAGTTCTTAAGGATACAAACCACCAAGCCTCGATTTCTCGAAGATAAATCGGTATATGAAAAGTAGATAACAGTCAAAGAAGATATAAGGAAAGGAACTAGCGAGGTCATAGAATTGTGAATATCCAACCTGCCCAGTATATAAGCCATTTTTGTTGTTCATTCTGATCTCTATTCTCAATGGCCTTGAAAGTTGAGTACACAGGCAACCCGACGCCAATCGAACAACTGCAAGAAACAAGATTAAGACATACCATGAAAGTTTCGTATATAACCGAATCCTTAAGAGTCAACTACAGCTACAACACCTTTTAACTGATAGAACAAAAGGACTACAAGATTCCCCAACAAGAGATACTCTCAAGTCTCCCAACAAGGTGTGGAACCCGTGTCCACTCAGCCAATAATTATGAAAATATCCCTAATGCTTCACATGTGAACGATATCAAATAAGAATCTACTTAATCAGATCATAATCTCATGATTCCTCCAGAACATTCATCTTATTGTACGATTGATTTAGCAATTAGATTGTTATCACCTTACAAACTAGAATCTGGTCCCAAAAAAAAAAAGAAAACAACTCACCATGCTGTACGAAGTACGATATTGGAACCAAGTGGAGAAAGCAATACACGTAACCCAACCTGAAAATTCCATAGAGAGAAAACAAATATCAATCATGTACACTAAATTACACAAAAAGTGAGAATAATCCAAATGTTCAGGAATTGAAACATCCACTTCTCCAATCCAGAACAGAATAAATCTCAACTCACCCAGAGGACAAAACATTCACAGAGACCTAAACTTTTCGATGATCAGACAATCCGCAGAATTCGAATTCGAATTCGAGCAAGGAAGTATGAATGGATACGATTACAGAATCCACACAATAAAACAAACATATACAATCAAATAATCATTGATACAAAACGAATCCCCAAATCACGGATCGGGAAAAAGCCGTACAAGCGAAAACAGAAATCTGAGAGAGAAGAGATTACCTCGCTGGTGAAGCCGGATCCGAGAAGCGCCATGGATGGTATCTGCGAAGCAAATCCGCTCATCGGAGAATTCTCACGTCGGTTTATCGGATTTTGACCAACTCGGTTTTCTTCTACACACTCGTAATAGGTCACTTCTGTTGTTGAATAATGATGATTATGAAGAATTAAATACTCTCCTTGGAATAGAGACTTATATAAGAAATATTTTTATTTATTAAATTAAAAAGAAAACACAACTAAAGGAGAAAAAAAAAAGACCGAAAAATTTAAGGCGTAGATAGATACAATTTGTTAAACCAAACCAGTCTAAAATTACCCAAACCCGGTTTAAAACTAAAACCGCCAAGCTGACGTGGCAACAAGCGCTCTTCCATGCCAACACAGCACCAACTCTCCTTGTCGTTTCGCCACGTGGAATCCTCTAACCTGCGCCTTCTCCAATAAACACTCAGCTTGAAAATCAGCGAACTGACTCAGCTGAATCGGCCTCATCCCGGCGGCGCAAAACGCTTCCCGCCACGTCATCTCACCAACGTTTCTCCGATCCGCCGCCGTTTCAACCGCCGCGGAAATCCTCGGCCTTAAAACGAACGTCTCAACGATCTTCTTCACCAAATCACCAGGAGGAGCAGCTGCGTCTAGAGATTCCAACACCATCGTGTAAAACTCAAGAGCACTAACAAACTCTCGCCGGAAAGATCCAGATCCGGCAATCTCCGTCCATCCTTCACTATCAACAAACACAACAACCTTCGGCGAAACTCTCCGTAAATTAGTCACAAAATCAGAAATTCCGGTTAACCGGCGAAAAATCGCCGGAGAAATCAAAACGACGGTTCTCTCACCATCAACGAACCTGATCGCTTTAAAAGACAACATCTCGAAAGTCTTCATCAGAACGAACTCGATCTGAAAACGAATCTTCATCTCCGCCGCGAATTGAGTTAAGTTTTCTTTCACTAACCGTGTCTCAACGGCGCACTCCTCCGTAACAACCGCCGTGACTCTCAAAAACCCGCCGGTTACGGATTTCTCAGCGATTTCTCTCATTAACGAAGCGTATTGACCACCGAAACCGATCTCGAAATCGACAACGTGGACAAACGGAGAAGAAGAAGACTGATGAGAGCTTAACGAATCGAGAATCGCTTGATTCGCAGTGAAATGAGAAAACAGAGGAATCGGAGAAATACCGGAATATTCTTTAATCGCACGGATTTTCTGAACAATCTCTGACCATGAAGATAATATTAACCGGGTTGGATTCCGGTTAGTTCCGGTTAAAAGCGAGCTTAAAGCTTCTTTAAAGTAGAAAGCAGATCTCTGTAATGGTCTACCAACCGGAGATCGAAGACGTTGGCTAAGCCGTGATAAAATCACATGACCGAGTTGTAACTCGTCCGATTCAATACAGTCAACAACTCGGATTAGATCTTCGATTAAATCGAATCCACCATTGTCGACGTTGTTATCGAGAGAATTGAAACCGTAACCGGTTGGTTGATTCTGACCGGGAAAAACAACATCGGAAGATTCGAAATCGGAAGGTTGGATTTGGTCAGGAAAGCCAGGGAGATTTGAATCGACGGTGTAAAGTGGTAGAATTGGAGAATCTGTGTTGGTGGTTGTTGTTGTTGTGATAAAACTTGTTTTTAAGGAATTAGGAGTGGAATCGTCGTCGAGCTCTAATTCTTTCATGATTGAATCCCAATCCATGGAACGCATCACATGCTCGTCCATGGATAAGTGATTACTGTCAGTAC